CGGCCGGGTTCGAGAAGGAGTGTTCGCACGCTTACAGTAGCTGCAGGAGGGAGTTCCTGGAGGAGAGTCTTTCTAGGTTGGGGTTACAGAAGCTGAGCATCGATGAGGTTCAGAAATTGCCATGGCAGGACCTTGAGGAGGAGATTGAGCGCTGGATGAAGGCGATTACCGTCTCCCTCCGAATCCTCTTCCCAAGCGAAAGACGCCTCTGCGACCGCGTCTTCTTCGGCCTCTCCTCTGCCGCCCATCTCTCTTTCATGGACGTCTGCCGAGGATCAACGATTCAGCTATTGAATTTTGCAGATGCGGTAGCAATTGGCTCGCGCGCACCGGAACGGCTGTTCAAAATCCTCGACATGTTCGAGACCTTCAGAGACTTGATGCCGGAATTGGACTCGGTGTTTTCGGACCAGTACTGTTTATTGCTTAGAAACGAAGCAATTACAATCTGGAAAAGGTTGGGCCAAACAATCAAGGGGATCTTCATGGAGCTTGAGAATTTGATCCGTCGTGATCCTGCGAAAACTCCAGTGCCGGCCGGCGGGCTTCATCCAATTACTCGATATGTGATGAATTATCTACGAGCAGCCTGTCGGTCGCGGCTAACTCTGGAGCAAGTTTTCGAAGAAACCGCTCTTCCCTCCAAGGATTACACCAAGCTGGAGGACAGAGCAGCAGCATCGTCTTCGTTATCGGTTCAAATGGACTGGATTATGGAGCTTCTAGAGAGCAATTTAGAGGCGAAGTCGAAGATATACAAGGATCTTTCCTTAAGCTCTGTGTTTCTGATGAACAACGGCAGATACATTGTTCAGAAAGTGAAAGACAGTGAATTAGGATCACTTTTAGGCGACGATTGGATTCGAAAACACTCGGTGAAGAGCCGGCAATACCTCGGGAATTACCTGAAAAGCTCATGGAGCAAGGTGGTCGGAGTATTGAAAACGGACAGTGGCTCGTTAGCTCCAAGCGCCGCCACAATGAAAGAGAAGCTCAAATCATTCAACTTGCAGTTTGAAGAAATCTGCAAAACCCAATCCACATGGGTAATATTCGAGCATCAGCTCAGAGAGGAAGCAAGAATCTCGGTGGCCAAAATCCTGATTCCGGCCTACCAAAACTTCATTGCAAGGTACCAGAGTTTGCCGGAGTTGGCAAAGCGTACAGACCGGCATTTGAAGTACACGGCGGAGGACGTGGAAGCTCGGATCACCAAGTTGTTCGAAGGAGGCAGCGGATCGGGCAGTGGGCGGAAGTAAAGGGTAAGCCATCAATGTTCAATATCGCTTGTAATATATCTATACAAAACGCAATCTTTATGAATGTTAGGTTAGCAGTTGGCAAAGAAATTTTGGGTTGTAATTCTAATTGGTTTGATCTGGTGAAACTGCAACTGGGTATCTTTAGGGCCATTCTGAATATGATTTAATCTCAAAGCTTTGCCATGGAAGTTTTGAAGCTCTACTTGAATGATTGACAATGGTGGATTAGAACTGTTGGGCGTTTGAAACTAGAATTACTGTTTGATTGGTGCAATTACTGCTTAGATTTTTTCTGGTACAGAGTTATAAATTTGGTGTTTAGATTATATTTCAATTTAATTATAGTTTTAACTATAGCTCTTTAGAATTAGCTTTTTAAAGGGCAATAGTTAAGGTGAACAATATTTCAAAATAAATAAAGAAAGAAAGAAAGGGTTAAGTGTTTTGTCCCCTTAATTGACAACAAAATTGAAAGGATGAGCTGCTAATCCTTCTGATTTCTAGCAGAGAGGAAAGAAAGGGGTTTCTTTGAGTAATCGACATGTAGTTTTTCGATCTATGGCCCAATTACTAAACTCTAGGCCCAATCTATGGTCTAAATACTGTTGGGCAAGTACAACTATTAATGGAAATTATTTCAAAATGGCTAAATTTAACCATGATATTTCACAATTTTTTTTATTTTACAAATCTATATTTCGAGATTTTAATTTCAAATTTTTTTGCGCATCTTTTAACATTTATTATATAATTTTTAATATAATTATTTCCTTCCTGATTTATCTACCTTTTCTAGCCTGCCAACAATTTGATTTAGATGTTCAACCAAAATGGGGAATTCACTCAAATGGCCTAATGATCTACCCCTTCAAAATGTGTCCAAATGACCCCTGGAATATTTAATTAATTTTAAAAGGTCGCGAAATTACAGTGCTGTCCTTTGTTCAGAAAACCAAACCGTTCACGCTACCTTCCCCCTTCCTCGCCGTTTTCAGCCCCAATTCGTCTTCTCGATTTTTCTTCGCAGTCCCTTCGAATTTCTTCTTAATTTTTGTTTCTCTTGGCGATTGGTTTCGCTTTTATGTGTGTTGAGGAGTTGAATAGTTGTCTATTTGCGTCGATTCAGTTTTCAATGTTTAGATGAACGAATACATGTATAATATTGCATCAATTTAGGTTTTTTTCTGTTGATTTTGTTTACTAGTGTTCTTCGTTTCGTTCCCTGTTTTTCCTTTGATTTTTCGTTTATGTTGGAATTGAGGTATGTGGCTGCGAGAGTTTGATTTGAAATGTTTGAAGTGGTGTGGTGGGAGGTTGAAGACGAAGAAGTATTTCGGGTGAAGTGGGATGAACCTCGAGCAAGGTTCAAGAGATTTGAAATGTCGTTCAATGTTTGATAAGCCTCCGTCATTTTTCTCGGGTTCGACCTCGGGCGAGGTTGAGCCCGAGGTAATTGAAAGAGGCTCAACCTTGAGAAACCTCACTCGAGGTTGAGCCTTTTTCAATTACCTCGAGCTCAACCTCGCCCGAGGTCGAACTTGAGGTAATTGAAAGAGGTTCAACCGCGAGAAACATCACTCGAGGTTGAGCCCCTTTCAATTACCTCGGGCTCAACCTCGCCCGAGGTCGAACCCGAGAAAAATGACAGAAACTTAGAAATCTCAAGGTTGCGTCGACTTTTTCTATCACCAACCGTTGTCCTCGGGCGAAACCTTGCCCGAGGTTCATCGTTTCTTATTAAACTCAGTCGGGAAATCATAACTCCCGCCCGAGGTTCATAGTCAACCTTAATAGAATCATGCTGAAATATGAAACTAAATTTAAAAATGGCAACCTGTTTCAAAATCAAAGTAAATAAAAGCAAACAAAACAGCAAAATTGCTTTTCAAATGTAGTCCAATCTCAAGAAGAAATCAAAAGCAGCAAAATTAAAGGCTATGGTTGTTGTGAATTAAATGATTCCCGGGTAGGAATTAATATGACCCCGGTCGAAGTTTTTTCCAACGGTCATGTCTTATAATTAAGGACATTTTTGTCATTTCATCTCCTCTGACACATGATTAATGCTTAAAGGAGGTCATCTGGGCACATTTAAAGAGGGGTTGTGAGCATTTCAAAAACTCTCCCTTTACGAATTCAAGGCTCTTGGCCTTGATTGATCTATGTCACAAATTCTCCCCAAACAAAGGAGTTGGAGTCTGCTGCATTTGTTAATTAACGTAGAATATTTATATTTAATGTCAAATCTTGTACTTAAACGTTGTTTATATTATAGGGATTATAAATATTGTACAGTGATAGCTTTTCTAGAGAGTATAATTTCATAAAGAATTCAGGGTACAAAATTTACACTTAACCATCAACAATTTATCAATATATTTTTATATATATATTTAAATATTATTAGATTATGAAAATTCAAAATGGTTGATTAGAGAATTTAAAATTCCTGATTTTATACCACTCTTCACTTTTCTAAAATAAAAAATACCCAAATATTCTAATACCAAAATCTCTTCGTCTTCTTCATCCGAAAACAACTACCCATCGTCGGTTTCTTTGTCTTCCTTATAAAAAGCACAATTCTTTCCGACCGTCTTCTCTGTTTTCTCCATTCCCTCAACAGCAGCAGCCCGTCTTGCTTTTTCACCATTATTTCCGGCAGGTTGTCTCACAGTCTTCTTTGTTTTATGTCATTACCGCTCCAACAGCCCGTTTTCGATTTACTCGCTTTTCACTATTGTTTGGCAGCCCATTTTTTACCGTTTACATTTTAAACCTTCCAGGTTTGTTTATGATTTTCGATTTTGGGTGTTCGAGTTTGGGGTATTGTTAAGAATAGCTTTCAATATGAGGGATTATCCTAGTCTATGGATTTTTTAGCATATGTGAGTGCGTTATTTGATTATGTAGTTTATTTACTTTGTTTGTTAATTGTAGTGGGGATATAGCCATATATAGTTTATAGTTCATATATAATTTTATCTGAGCTTGATTTTGGTGAATCGATTCTTCATACTGCAGTCAACAATTATAGTTTGTAGCTAGATATAGTTTATATCTCCATATAAGTTTATGTTATAACGGTTGTTGTTATAATGAGATTATTTTACGCTGTTGTACTCATGTTTTGCCGTTAATTTGTATGTGTTTTTGGCTTAATTGTTATATAATTTGTACGGTTGAAATGAAATGAAAAAATATTTTGTAATAAATTTCATTCTTTAGTTTAAATTAGGGGATTATGAGAATAATTGATTTGGGACCTACAATGATTTAATGTTTACAAAATCAAATTTGGAACATCAAATCTTTCACATTATGTCATTTGAAAAACGTTTTAAATCCAAAAAAAAAAATTTGTAAATATTAAACATTTGTGAAAATAAGTCGTGCAAGACATTATCTCTATATTATACTAGTGCATTAYCACATGCAAATGCACGTAATATTCTTTTTATTTATTTATTTTTCACTAATATAAATAATTTTTTAAAAAAACATCACTATTTATCGAAAAAAATATATCGAAAGTTCAAAATAAAAAAAATTATAAATTGATAGAATTAATATAACTCAAGTTTGTTGGTGAAATAATGTTAGAAGAAAAATCTACTTTATATTTTAGAAAAAAACTATAAAATTTTTAAAATTAAAATTCTATAGTTAATTATGATTAAAGATAAATTATTTCAAGAAATGTCACATTCAATAATTTAAAATTTCATACATTACCTATCAAAAAATAACATAAAATAAAATCCATACATTCAAATTTTAATTTATTCAAAGATAATTTTGATCCACGATCCCGAGCCTTGAAAATCACTTTTCTAAGCTCTCCAATGGGAGAGTTTGGGAGAGGTTTTTTGGCAGTTTAACTTTTTGGCCAATTTGGAGGGCAAGGAACCATTGGAGAGCTTAGAAAAGTGATTTTCAAGACTCAGGATAGTGGAGGTCGCTTCGGGAACGGACGATTGACAATGTGGAACATAGTTTCTTCTCCTTTCCCTTGATTTAGTTTTGTTATGGAACTCTGATTGGGATTTTATTGTTTTACATTGAATATGAGTAGTTAAACATCTTATTTTAGGGATTGATGTAGCCATTGAACTTTATGGATGGATTGTTTCATTCTTTTGATTGAATGATTATGAATGTTTTATTTATGTTTCTCTATGCTTAATGCCTTTATCTACTGGCCATAGATTGATATTAGACTGGAAATCTTACCTTCGGGAGATGTGGTTGAGAGTTAGAACTGGGATGCATAACTAAAAGGGTTCTAAGATCGGGAGATTTAAAAGTCCTTTAGAGGTCGCTACAAGACTTGCTCAATAAAGTCTTTACTTGTTATAAAAACTAGATAGAGATATTGGTTTCTTAATTGGTAAGGAGAATGAGCTTGCGCTTAGGAGAGGCAGATGAGATTTGAGAGTTCTTGGCCTATAGAATTAATAATTCGTTGAATCTTGAGTAATTGAGTAGTTGGCTCATACATTCAATAGGTGAAATCAATTCCCGATGACCTTTCTCCCCATTGTTTTTATGTTTGTTCTTGCATGTTTATTTCCTTTGATTATATGCTCCAATTTGATTTTGATTCTCTAAATAAAATTGAACGATTGTATCTGTGGTACTTGAGTGATCTAGAAACCCAATCCAGAGGACACGACATCGGTATTGACTTACCACTTTATTAAAACTTGACCCGTACACTTGCGGTAAGTATTTTCTGCTACAACTTGTGCTCTATCAATTATTTCAAATTCAAAATCCCAAATACATATTCATAGCTTTCACTTTTTTTTTTTTATTAATAAAGGTTATTAAAAATAAAAAATGACATGTTTAGTAATTTAGAAATTGATAAGTGGGTATAATGGACCAAAAATATTTTTTTCAAGGTCCTTCCTTATTAATATAGTATAGATTTGAATAAGATAGGTTTAATATCCATTAAAAAATTTTCCAATATTATGAGTGACTGGTATTAAAATTTTTTCCAAATTTTCTTAAAAATAAAAAAAGTTTCCCAATATTGTTGCGGCAATTTTGATACATTAATTTAGGTTAGGTAATATATACCTTGTATTCTTATATACTATAGAATATAAACCTCCTAAAAAGTTGTATAGGTAGCACTTATTCTATAGCAAATAATTTTCTTTATCCATAACATTATATAATATACCTTTTAATATAATCTACAGTAGGATAAAAATATATCCATTCAATACCTTCTATTGCTATATACTAAAATATTAGATTATA